CATATGTAATTTTTAATAAACCAATTTAAACACTGAATATAGTCTCATCATAACTAGTATAACAAACATTCTAATGTCAACATTACTTAATTAATTAACACTATTTTTATACACTCTATCACATCAGTAGTTGAAGCCAGAAATTAGCGAAAAATATGTAAATATTCTTTTCAATTGTCATATGTACTCATATACACCAAATAATTTTTGACGATTAGACTATCCTTCGCTTAAAGTGGCTCCGCCCATATACCAAAAGACACTTAAAAGTATATAACTAAAATCATTATTCCACCATGATCTCCATACCCAAGCTTTGGTTCTTAGGAAATTTCCTTTATTGTCTTGGAGGGGTAAAGACAAGTTAATCATTTCACACACAAATAGTGTGTGTTCATTTCACAGCCAAATTAGTAGACAAGTTTTATATATATATACATATAACATAACAAATAAAGATATGCTGGAGTCTTGGAGATATTCATTAAGATGCTATGATTATATATTATTTCTAATTTTACATTTGAAGGCCTACAATATTTGGAGGATAAGTTTTAATTTTTAAAGAATATAAGACAATGGATGAAGATATAATCCCCCCACCCCAACCCCATAGCAATATACTTCTTTTATTTTAATTCACTTATCAGATTTTAACTTGATATAAAATTTAAAAAAATAATTAATAGTATTACTTTTTGAGTGTTATTTATCTATAACATGTATTAAAATATTTTTTAATCTTATGATAGTTTTTTAAATCAAAGAATATATATATCATCTAATTATTCACATTAACCTCTATAGGTCATAAAATCTCAATCTTGTCGTCGTTAAGGCTTAATTAGAACAAACTATAATTTGAGCATCTAAGTAAAATTTAGTGACTAGTTTAAGAGCTATAACGCATTACTAATATCATCTTATTCTTTTATACTCAAATTTTATTATGTCATATTGTTTAAGTCTAACATTAGGTAACGACAAAAAGTACCATTATATATAACAATTCGACATAATCATGTTGTTACCTTAATATTTGTTTTTCATTATCTTTATTCATTATTTAATAATTCTATTTTATACTTTACCCTACATTTTTATGGTATGCCCTATTTTTCTTGTAAGTTTATCACTTATGTAACGACATAAACTAATACAATCTATCCAATTATGTCATATGATCATTAAAATAATACGATATAATATAACATAATATATATATATATATATTTATTTTTTTTTCTGCTTTGTTTTCTAAATGCTAAGATAAGTATGAAAATTTAGCGGTTATAAAGTTCAAATGCAAACAAGTGCATGCAGAATGTCTATGTCAAGTAATGTGTAGGGACTACAAATCTGTTGTAATGTAATTTCCAGGAAATTTCTCCCCACAAAACCCCAAAAGAACTCATAACAAAATACCAAATAAATGAGGAAAAAAGAGAAAGATGCGATACTTTGTCCTTTTTGTTTGTGAAAAATTATTTAGATTCAACAAAAATAATTTTTAGCTATAATAAATATAAATATACATATTAACTATTTATTTTTTATGATCCAATGTCGTTATAAGTTTTAGAAACACTTACAAAGAAAACTATTTATTGTTAATTAATTGCTTTTAAAGATCATTTTGTGATATAATACTTATGTCTACATCAAATATTAGTATAGTGAATATGATTTTTCTCGGGAAAAGGATCTGAAAAATACTTTAACTTTAGCCGAAATTGTTGTTGCGATGTCAAACTTTATGGATGACCTTTTTACCTCCAAACTATTTAATAGTCAATTTTTTACCCTGAACTATCTAATAGTGTATTTTAACGATATATATGTGCTCACAAAGACACATTACAATTTACAATTATGCAATATTTTTTTATGTCCACGTGGAAACATATATACCTTAAACTACATTATTAAAGGACAAAAAATCATTTCCAAAGTTTGATATCATAACAGCAATTACAATCAAAGTTAAAATATATTTCAAAACCCTTTTCTTCTTTGTCTTGGTAAATCTTTACTCATATCCGATATTTTGTTAAATACATACTATATTATTTGTTTATCACTCATCTATTAATTGAGAAGAGATCAATTAGCTATGATTTGAACTCATACTATCCACCTTGACATGATGATTTTCTTTGCAGCCATTGTCTGGAAAATATGGTGAGGAAAGATAAAAGTATCAATTTCAGCCAAGAGATCCAGGGACAATAGTATAGTCGATCCACAATATATCTAAAGAAGAGATAGAAAATTATGAAATGAATAGTTTAGCAAAGTTGCTTACACTACAACAGAAATAACTCTTAGCGTCATTAAATATTGACACTAATAAAGAGTGCTAAAGTCTTTACCGGTATTATTAAGTGCCATTAGAACCAATGACGCTAAAGGTGAGTGACAATTGCCGCTTAGCAATAGTGTTAAAGAGCAACTCAAAGAACAACTATTGCTTGCTATTTTGAGCCAACAATAATATTTATTTGTATTCTTGATTATGTTCATTTATAGATTAAATAGAAAAATCTTAAAAAATATATCCTCCAACATACATTATATTTAGGGAAATGTTGTAAAGGTAGTTGTTGATGACATAAACAAGGTGGAAAAAAGCTTGTGTATGCATGATTTTAATGCTTGTGCCAACTTTTAATATTGCTATATATGTGTCCAAACTCCTAATAGACTATCTTTATCATATATAGGTGGAAACTCTTACACAACTTCAAGAGTAAGCAACTGAATAAGGAGGAGACGGCCAAATACAAAGCAGCATAAGAAATGATCAAGTCATCACTTAATTCTAAGGTAAGTTAGAGTCATTTTTATGAGCTATACAATGTTCACAAAGCACTGTAAGTGTGGATATATTGAGACATGCAAAGTACCATTTGTACATGAGTTTGGTCCTAACTCAAGTTTATGGCCCACAATGATTCACATCATATAGGTTTAGTGTTTACAAATTTATAGGGAGGAATAAAGGGTTGGCAATAGTCTTGCTCTTTACATATATACCTGGATTTTGTTGGTGGCTGCACCCACACATCACGCGCTACGCTCTTACCGTTGGACCAAAGCCTTGTGGGCTTTCTATTATATATATATTCCAATGGCTTGACCACTCTATTTGTTTTTCTCCTTCCTAATTGCTATGTAGGAGAATGGAGATGTAGTTTTATAGGTTACTTGCCCTTCTTGGGAGATACTTCCTTGTAAATTTATTCAATTTAATGCATATTTGAATTTCAAATCCATACTATGTTCCCGTTTATCTTTCTAATCAATTTTCCCTTTTGTATATGATTTATCTATGATGTAAATAAAGAATATATTGATTAAAATGTCAGTTGATTACAGGAACAATGATATAAATTTTAATTAAGGTCATAAATGTCGCCGCTAAAATTTATGAATATCGTCGCTAAAGGTCACTTTAATGGCAACAATCACCGCTGCTAAAAGAAAGTATTAATATTGATAAAAGTGACTTTTAGTGGCGACAAAAATTGCCGCTAAAGGTTATGAAGGGTCGTTGCTAAAAGTCAGGAAGATCGTCGCTAAAAGTCATGAAAGTCGTCGCTAAAAGTTATGAAGGTCGTCGCAAAAAGTTATGAAGGTCGTCGCTGAAAGTTATGAAGATCGTCGCTAAAAGTCATGAAGGTCGTCGCTAAAAGTTATGAAGGCCGTCACTAAAAGTCATGAAGGTCGTCGCTAAAAGTTATGAAGGTCGTCGCAAAAAGTCATGAAGGTCGTCGCTAAAAGTCATGAAGGTCGTCGCTAAAAGTTATGAAGATCGTCGCTAAAAGTCATGAAGGTCGTCGCTAAAAGTTATGAAGATCGTCGCTAAAAATCATGAAGGTCGTCGCTAAAAGTTATGAAGGTCGTCGCTAAAAGTGACTTTTTGTGGCGACTGAACTGCTGCTAAAAGTGATGAATGTCGTCGCTAAAACAGGCTTTTAGTGGCGACTTACCCGTCGCTAAAAGTTATGAATGTCGTCACTAAAAGTTCCTTTTAGTAGTGACTTTTATGAGCATTAGCAGCGACTAGAGTTGCCACTGAAACCTAATTTAGTGGTGACCTTTAAAGCCTTATGGTGACTATAACATACTATTCGTGGCAATTAAGTTTAGGCATTTGCAGCGACTATAACAATCTTTTAGCGGCAAGTATTATACTTATTCTTAGCTGCTGATGTTGCCTCTAAAACTTACATTTAGTGGCTATTAATGTAGGTAGTAGCAACGTTTAATGTTGCTACTAAAACATTCTTTTAGTGGCCACTATTATACTTATTCACAACGACTAAAAGCTATGAAACTAGACGCTAAAAGTCAGTTTTTGCAGCAACTAAAACCGCTAGTAAAAGCTAAGAATGCCGTTAGGCATCTTTCATTTTTACCGTCGCTAAAAGTTATGAATGTCGCTAGAAAAAGCTAAGAATGCCGTTAGACATCTTTCATTTTTACCGTCGCTAAAAGTTATGAATGTCGTCGCTAAATGTTACTTTTTGTGGCGTCTAAAACCACCGTTGAAAGTAATAAATATCGTCGCTAAAAGTAATGAATATGTTTTAATATTTGTTTTTTAGTTTTATATATATTTCGACAATTAAAATAAATAATCTAATTTTAATTTCTTTTAATATTTAGTCATGTAACTAATACGCACTAAACTTATTTTACCATGATTTAGTACTTTAAATTATGATTGATCTATTTCATTATGACTTATTAATTTGCAGCATTTATTTTATGCGATTTTATTTTATTTTTTAATTTCGATTAATATCATTAATCATATCATATTTTTTGTTATTTTCTTGAGAAAACTTAAATAGTTGCATTTTAGTAGGACTAAAGAAATATTTGAAATACAAGTAAATTATATGTTTGTATGAACACTTAATCGAAAAAACCTAAAATTCGAAAAAACTCAAAGTTGAAAAACATGAGTTTGATTTGGTTTATAAATTCAAAAATTCGACATAAATGGTTTGGTTTGATATTTGAAAAACCTGAATCAACCCGGTCATATACACCCCTACTTGCTAATTAACAACTTCATATATTACGCAGATAAAAACATAGGTGTAGTTAATTCCAAACTAAGGTGGAATTGAAAACTCCTATTCAGGTATTTTCAAATTCAAATTATAAAGACTGGTTGTCATCAGAACAACTATCGTCAATTTCCAATTCAAGATCCAACATATTAGATTTGCTTGCTGAATAGTTCTCCTCACCTATCTCAGCATTTCGTTTTCCTCTTGTGCTTCTTGAATCATCAAGGATGGAGTAAGCACTTCGGTTACTTGGGTCACCATATAGAGCGACATGTCGGTAGTAGAGTTCAAGTTCCTTTTCAGCAATCGCAATGAAACGTCTCACAGACTCTAGCGACTGCTCATATTTGGATTTTTCCAATGCCTGGAGAATTGACCAGTAATTCTTATCATGATTGAAACAAATTTGATAAAACAAAGATACAGGTAAATGAGACAGAGTCAAAATATTAAAAGTAAAATCTTTATGCCATAAATATAGTGAACTGATTCCAAAGGAGCAGTAAACATGTGAGGATGAAATTACAAACAGTAAGGGGTATCTGTGGTGCAATGAAGGGTATGGTTCTTTTGTGATGTACAGTGAATAATACAAGTCACAAAAGGGTTGGAGTTTGGCTGTTGAGGTGGATTTCAGATGATCTACCCTGATATATTAACCCAGCTGCATCTATAAGCCAGGTCAACAATAAGCTGTTTAACATGGATTCAGCTACAGGTATGTATAGGATATACATATGTTACGGGTACGTGAAATCTTTGATGATTTTTAGAAATATTTTAAATCATCCACAAAAGTACCCACACCTATTGCATACCTGTTTCGCATAAGAAGATCGAGAAAATGAAGGATTCACGCATCAATCGAAAGAGAATTACAGTGAAAGCTGGTGGGAATGACTAGAGGTTGATGGTAGAAGGACTATGCACAGTAAGACTTGAAAGAGCGAACTTGCGCATAAATGCATGATGAGAAGCAATTACTTGGTAATTAAAGAAATTTAGCTCTAACAAACTTACCTTCTTCTTTGACAGTGTATCAATAGGAGACATAATTTCGGGTTGCACATAATCCCTTCCTCTGTAAAAAACTATTGTATCATCTGCAATTATCTGAATTGGGATGCCGCCACTCAGTCTTGCAATTTCATCGGCATATTCTTGGACTTGACCAGGTTTGCATATGACTTTGACTGTTTCATGTTTTTTCCAATGTAAATGCATATTAAGAATAACACCACCAAAGACTCCCCTTCTGCCAATTGGCACATAATTAGACCTTTTTTGCCCCATCTTTTTTATATAGAATCGTTCTTCGCCAGTGAGGAAGTGTGGCTTAACCTCAGGACCTTGAACTTTGGTAACCTCATATCGCTTTAGTCTCTCAATCAACAGCGCTTCTTTGACTTTTGCCTGACCCAAGCCAAAACATGTCAGCTTTTGTTAAAATAAAAAACTCCATTATTTCGTATATAAGTCATATGGAAATGGGAATAAAACAAATCTTAGCTTCAATAAACACAAACATAAGGTGACCACACAATTCTTCACATACTAAACCAGGAAAAAGGTAAGATAGATATAAAACTTAACTACGAAATGTCTTCCATGCTTCAGTGAGGTAGCAACCACGAAACAGGCACACTTGCTGTAACTTGGTTTTCAGTAGATGACACAAAAGTTAAAAGTAACTGAAAAGTAAAGAGATTCTTTTCTTTCTCCAGTTTCAAGAAAATAACTGTACTCACTAAGTATTTCCACGCTGAAATCATAGAGAAAATAGATCTTTGCAATTACTATTAAAAAACATAGCCAAGAAGATAAGGGAAAGAGACAAATCCAGGTTCAATAATGCTTCTACAACCTCGCTCTAATATGAGTATCAAATGAGAATAAGTAATATAAAAGATTACTCAAGAAGTTTAACAATACCAACAAAGAACACATGTATAGATCTACTTGTCATTTTCCTCTATATCTTCCTTCCAACTTCCCCTTCTAATTTATTTTTTTGTCAACCAAATTGAAGAAAATAGGTTGAAGCTCATTTCCAAAATTCTTATAAATCATTACCCTGCCCAAGTTCTACAATTCAGTTCATTCTTTATGCTATTACAGATTATTAAGCTAATATAAAGATTAACTATCATACTGGTCCAAATGGAATGGGATGGATTCGAGAAGACATACAGTCGAGACCAAATAGTTCGGCATTGAGCCATAGTAGTAGTGGTAATAGCTAAACAGACAAGAATTACATCTCAATTCCAAACAAGTTGGGGTGGGTGATATAAATCCTCAGCAGGAGAACTAATGGCAAAATCAATCATTGGCTTTTAAGTAAAAAAGGAAAATCATTAGCTCACATTTTCTATCTTCTGCTTAATTCTTTCTTCAGCAGTGTCAAACTTCTGCTTCTTCTTCTTCCCCTTTAGACCAAGCCTTCTTGGATCCCTCTTATTTGCAGCATTTCTCTTCTTCTTCTCTCTCTTCCTTTGCAGCTTCAGCCTCTTCTTTGTCTTCCATTTTTCTTTCTTTGGTGCTTCCACTTCATGTGTCTCAAACTTGGGTTTCCCATCTTTTGTTATAACAAAATTCACACTTCCATGACTAAAGTTCCTCAAGTCCCAACATGAGCCTTGTCGGGTTAAGCTATTTTGAGGCACAAACCTTGACAAGTGCAAAAAGCTTTCTCGGTTTCCAAGAATTGGCCTGAATATAGAGACAATAGAGGGAGATAATCAAAACTAAATCAGACATACTCCATTTAATCAAAATTAACTAGAGAAACAAGTGAAGAAATTTTTAAAAAGACATTAGCTTTACGTGTACGAGGTAGAGGAAGAGGATAGAGGCCTGCGATGTGAAAGTAACAGAAGTCTTCGAAAACTTCTAAATAGAGGAATAGCCATATAATGTTGTTGTTTGCCTTCAACGGGGCTGGCGAGCTACTTCACCGTGAAGACTCTCGAAATTAGGCTATTTATCACTGGATACAAAATAAAAGGGAAATTCACCATGTAGACTGGAGCTGACAAATGAGCGGGTCGAATTGAATATGGACAAGTTAAACAAAAATGGATGAATATCCAACTTACTATATTTTTATGGATAAATAATGGGTTGAGTGATGAATAATATGTGTATCCATCTTATCCGGCACCAGTTTCAGCAAACTTAATCCATTTCTAGCATATAGAAGAAAAAACTACTAATCCGTTGAAGAGAAATAAGTATAACCTAAGGAAAGATTGTTAAAAAGATGTTCAAACAGGCCAAATTTAGCATCTGCAGTTCTTGAGAAAATGAAAATAAAAAAAAATTTCTTATGCTCGAGGGTAGGTGCAAAATAGTACCTATGCACTGAACAATTTTGGTGCTATAAGTTTGCCAAAAGTTAAACACTTCTCCTCTCCGTAAAATGCTTAACAATCTATGTTCGTTATATTTAACACAAATTATGGGGAAAAGGTCATTCACACTATATTTTGGTAAGTTCAAGTATGAAAGTTCAAAGAACCATCATGAGGTACATTCGTCCATAAGAGCACTCCAAGCTTCTTCTGACGGTTTAGAAGTTGAGTTCTTATAGGATAACAATATTGGAGGAAAGTTAATGGTTACTCCGAATGTTTGTAAGGTACTTCTGCAGAAATATTAACATTTCCATGTTCGGTTAGTACCCATAGGAAGAAATATTAACATTTCCATGTTCGGTTAGTACCCGTAGGAACCAAGCCTACCGTATTAAAGTTGTCAAGTGAGTTAAAAAAGAAATCCCCTTTGTTCTTTCTATGTTTTTCTCCTCTAGAATTTTTAACTTAAAATAACTTTAGTCCAAATTTTATAGTTCCTAATAGAAACATTATGACTCATAGTTCCCAGGGTATACTTAAAAACCCAAACTGGATTACTTTATAAATAAGGAAATGAATCAGCAACTTGATTAACCTGACAGATAGGATCCACATTGTGAGAATTTTAGTGTGACAATTCGTCGAGCACTTCATGTGCACAACATATTCAGTGATCATGCACCATTCCAAGTTTCGGGATTCATAGTTGGGTAGCAGTTAATCATTGAGAATCCTAACATAAGGAAGCAAATCAAAAGAGGAGCTCAACATTTTCACCGATTCACACATCCTATTTTCGAATTACCATGGACCTAGGGGAACATGGATGGAGGGCATCTAGATGCAGGGAAAGAGACGATATATGAAGAAGAAGAAGGAAGAGAGAGAAAGAGAAAACTCACCGGAGTTATGGTGGTGATTGATGGAGAGAGAAAGAGAAAACTCACCGGAGTTATGGTGGTGATCGATGGAGTCTCAGGCGCGATGGTGGTGGCAGTTGTGTTTATGCGTGTGGTTTATATTATTCTAATTTATTTTTTTAATATGTTCGTTTATTTGTTTCATTAACATAATTTTGTTTGTATTCACATTTTTCAAAATTAAAATAGAATTTATTTATCGAGTACGATTACAGATTTATATTTTTCTTTTTTTAAATAATATTTATGTATGTTACTTGAAATTTGTCATAAAAGTATATGTTAAATTTTTTGTTTTGAATTTAAAACTTATGCTATAGTTTTAGATTTATTTGTTTTAGTTGTATTGGCATAAGAAATTAGGTATGTCCCTGAAATTGCGGTCATAATTTAGGGAGACAATAGGACCCTAATTAATTTAGTTGTATCGATGAAATTTATCAGATATTTTAGTAACTTCCAAAAACTAATACTCCTAAATATATACTTTTATTTTTACTTACAGAAAGAACAAAAGGATATAAACATTCTAATTTCAAGAGTAGTCTCGACTTCACCGAGTAATGAGAAACTTAGGACCTAGGTACGTAAACTTGCTAGTCGAAAAGAGATCTTCGCCTTTAGATATTCGTAAGGTAAAGCGCCGCGAATCTCTCCATCCGATCGATAGTAAGAGCCAATTCCTTCATGTGCCTTTACTGTTCGTCCCGGAGGAGCACCAAAGAACTTTCTTTCATCCCAGCGCATCAACTGAAGAATATTTTCTTGCAATGGGTTGTGCATTACATGAACCATATTGTCAGCAACAATGTTTGATCATCCTACAAATAAAAGATAAATAAAATTATAAGTTATAAAGTACATATTTAAAGAGCAAAAGGAGGGTGGAACCACATAATCTTACTGGTTTTTGCAACTAATGGCATCACTAGAAGTTCACATTCTATAGAATGGTTGGGGTAGAAACATTCAGCTAACAATAAAATTGCAAAAAACAAGAGAAGTATTTCGAAACTGAAATGGATAAGGTGAAGGTGAAAAACATTAAAAACTTCCTCACAAACTAAGTATTTGCTCATACAAAGCTGTACCAAATACCACACGAGATACTCCTAGTAGAGAACTTTACTCGATAGAAAAGAAAAAAAAAACTCCCAGTGGAGAATGTATCAATTCTCCGTTTGTCTTAAATCTAATTAAGTACTCTAAATAATAGTATCTAGTTTACAGTTTAGGGTATGTTTGGGCTGTCCAACTACGAGTTTTCAGCCAAAATTGTCCCGTATCTTTGAGGGCAGGCTTAACTTGTTGGACGAACATTTATGCATAAATCAAGATAAGAATGACTTCCAGACATACGACTACAAAATAACAATGACTTGAAACTTTGCTACAGAATGTACCAAGACTTAATCAAGCAATTAAAGACTCATTTTTGCATACAACCAAGGAAGATAATTTTACATGAGTTAGATAAAGTTTACTTACCTAGTTTTTATCCATAAGACTTGTAGGACGTGCCTCGTCTGAACCAGTTGAGTTATTAATGATGTTGAAAATTGCAGCAGGAAGTCCATTCTGTTAAACATGGCACAACTAAAGAATTTAGTTTGTCGTATAAAGGAAGGATATGAGAATGAGGAAGAAGCAGAGATAGTGAGAGTGACTATAGTAGTAATGTAGCATTTATTAGTTTAGCAGTTTATACTAAATAAATACCATGGAACTTTGCATATGGGATACTAATGCCATTACACCCTCTTTTAACAATTTTTGCTCACGCACTATACGAGTTTCCATGACTTCTCGACTTCTCCGCTCCTCTTCAAGCTGATATTTTACTTCCATTAGCTTGCTTTCTAAACTTTCTCGTTTACGTCGTTCTTCTTCTATCTCCTTTTGTTGTGCTTCCAGTTGCTCTTGAATTTCATCTCTGGATCTCCTACTCGCTGGCTTAACTCCCGATCCTTGACCACGAACATACCCTGCTTTTTCTCTCATAATATGCATAAATGCAGCATTAGCAATAAGGTCCACATCGGCACCCTCTTCAATTTCTTGAATTTGTTCAGCAACAACTTCTTTCACCTTATCCTACAAGCAAGGTATACCAGCTTTAACTTTCAAGATTTAATTAGACAAGACTCATCTAAGAATAAAGATAAGATTTTTCTATGTACATTCACTTCAGCAGAAGCATCATTAACCCAATGCCCATTTGAGTTCACGTGAGTCATTTCCCAAAATTTCTGAGAGTTTGGCTCTTTTCCGGTGTTTGTGTCTCTCTACCAAAAACAAATCAAATTACGTTACTGATAAAAGGAAAAATCAAAATCCACAAAATAAAATAAAAGAAAGACATATCTCACTGCTTCAAATGATACTGCTTGGAAGGATTTTCTGCCGCAAATATGATTCACTTCTTGTTTTGCCTTATTACTTTTATTTCTTTCACTCATTTTCTGCATTGATTTTGAGTCCATGAAATCAATTTTAAATATACGAAGTAGAAAAAGAAAACAAAACAATATCATAAAGTTAAATCCATTGTACTATTTAATTACCTTAAAATCGTCAGAGATGAAATATTCCACCAAGAATTTCCATTCAGCTTCATTAACCTGTGATGGCATGTTTTGCAACCTTAACTCTTTTGTAGCAAATTTCTTGAAATGATCATGTAGCCTACTACGGCGATATCGATATAAATTTTTAGCTGTTTGAAGGATAGTATCCCGATTATGTTGTATGTCTGGAAGCTGGAAGGTATCCTGCACTCAAAATAAAATTTAAGTGAGCTTAATTAAAATAGAACTTTGATTGTCTGTCATAAACTGAGGGATGCTTGAGAGTCTAATGCTCTAAAGTTAGTTTATCAGTATACATTTTTGTATACTTATCCTTGTTCTGATGTATTATTTAGTTCCCTATCTAAAACCATAATTCTGAACTGACTGTGTATTGAAACAAAAACGTTTCGAACAAAATCGACTTCATGCGCGCTACAGTAAAAGCAAAGAAACAAGAAAATTAACCAACTAAATCCAAATCAAGAAGTTGAAATCTGCAGCGGGAATTCAAGATTCTGAAATGTATGTTGCTTTGATGATCTGAGTAGCCTATGGTTTTTTTAGTCTCATTTTCATTCTCTTGTTTCAAGGGAGGCGTTCTCTATTTTGGTTTTCCAAGTATTTTGATTGAATTTTATATTTTTTTGCATTCAAGGAACAAAGAGTTTTTAAAACTTAATCGAAAGAAAGAGAGTTACCAGCATATGAGCAACAATCCTATCTTTTGCAAGATCAGAAACTCCCTTCCAATTCTTGACATCATGCCTAGCATTATGGAGAACTGTCACTGAGAGCTCAGTAACAAAATCTTTAGCTCCAGGACCTACTGCTACTGTTCGATCCGGTGGGATAATTACCTTCAACTTTCCATTGACACTTTCCTTGAGTTTCTTTTGGATTGAAAGTCCAGTTGTCTTCCCCCTTCCCTTTCTTTTTTTCCCTTTAGCAATATATGGAAATTTTTAAGTCTGTCTATACAAACACAAGATATACAAGCTAGAAACTTTGACAGGAATGGTTTAATGAATGAATCAACTTACCTGGTGGTGGGGTTGCAATTACATCGGCAGTTCCAGCATTATTAGCATGCACATCTGTCATAATAATGAGCTGCAACATATTAAAAAAAATTATATAACAGGCAGATAATAGAAATTAACAAATAAAAATGATGCTCAGAAATTGGGATAAACAAATAAAGTTACAAAGCAAGAAAATAACGATATAAATGGAAACGTAGAAAACAGAAATTAATCATTTCAGCAATGTGACGGAAAACGGAACTCCAATGAAGAAAGAGAATAAAAGCAAAATTGGGCTTAAGACTAGTTGAAAAATCACAACCAACCATCATCCTCGTTTTCATCATACTCGACAGTATTTCATCTGTTGCAGAAATCACTGAAGTCATCCACATTTTCAAGATCAGACTCATTACAACTTCCAAGTCTACTTCTTATTGAGAGGTGTTTCAACACTCGCTCCATAAATATCTTCTCACTGTATTATGATAACATAATCGAATCTACTCAAGGGATTGCTTCTCCCCTTTCAACTTAGTCAATCAGTTGTTGTGGTTTTCATCTTTTTGTTTGAGAAGATCATGCAAAATTTTGTGGTCTTACCCTTAACATTGCATTGGCATTTCTCATTTTGACCATGTTTAACATAATACATTGACTGCTTGCTAGCGCCTAGAATGGATGGATCATTAGACTAATGAGGTCATTTACATCTACACAAACGAATCAATATTCATCCCTTTTGTAACATCTACGTTAGAATAATAGAATTTACTGCTCAACTATTACTACTACAACAATATACGCAGTGTAATACCACAAGTGAGGTTTGGGGAGGGTAGGTGCACTTTGTGAGGATGCCTATATATAGAAGAAGATATACTTTGTTAGGGTTATGGTATGAAGTTTTCTCTTCATTTTCTTAGTTGCTTTTCAGACCAACTCTGGACCTCCCTCCTTTCTTTCTTTTGTTTATATTTCTATGATGAACTCCTATATCAATGAATCTGATTACCGTATTCCATGTCAATTCGAGAATCCTCTTTGTTACAAACAGTCACTAGTACCAGTAAATGGAAAGCAGGCCTACTACATTGATCTATCCTGTAATCAGTAGCTAACTCTCCTAACAATTAATATTTTGGATTATTAAACAGTACAAAATTTGTATCTTTGCACAGCTTTAATTTGGGCTTAACTTGGATTATAGTTTCTTTCATATTATAACTGAACTGCTCCAATACCCAATTCTCTGCTCTTGCCGACAGGATTTCCTCCTTGTAGGTGTTTAGGTTGGCATTTTAGTTCTATAACTGACTCTCAAACTCGGTTCGTTGAAATTATTACTCGATCGATATTGTAGAGAATAAATCGTACAGCCATATGTATCTTTAGGGCACATAAGATTCTCAATAACACTGGCCTTTACGTTTAAAGATTTAACCTATAAGAACAAGTCTTAGAACTGTTGAATCTGGTTCTTTGGTTTTATTTCTTATCCATGCCATATGTTTCTCTTGAACAGGTAAGACTGATTGAACAGAAGAATGAAAACCTTCTCATTTCAGAACCGTCTTTTCAGTAAAACTAACAACACAACACAGTGGAATAGGTAAAAACTATCCAAACAAGCTGTAAGATTCTCAAAACAATCACCTCCTAAAAAACAACTATCAAGACAATCAAAATTCTCAATCCATCAGGTTTTAAAATAAGAAATCAAAAGCAAAGGCAATTTCATCAAAACTTTTATGTCAATCAATGGTTCCCCATTGACTTATTTCTTTTCAAATCCTAGTAATATTTACAAAAATTAAAAGAAAAAAAAAAGATATATTGAAACCAATACATTACAAAAACATTTTAAGCAGTATCAGCATCAGTGACTTCTACTTAATAGCTCAGTTGATTGGCCACCTGAACTTTCATCGTATTGCTGAGGTTCTATTCCTCATGTTATAATCCCCAACCCCAAATTTACATCAAAAAGAAAAACATACCGGCAATTAGCAAAAACCCACTCCAGGGTCAAGGTTCACCCTCCAAATTTTCATTCACCAGTGATTTCATGAAGTTGGATACACAAAAAATTGTTCTCTTTTCACAGTATTGCTTTCTGATACAAAATGTACTAATGAATTCATGAAGACTGACAACAAATTTCTCTCAATAAACTAATTCTACCAAACCCAGATTCAAATACCTTAAAAACTAAAACAAAATTAACCCTTTTCCTGCCCGAAAGTTTCGAGCTTGAATCAAAAAGGACCTTAACAGAGTCATTGAAGGATCCACAAATTTTAAAAATAACCAAATCATAGCAAGGAGACTAAACCATGAGTGATAACTCACCGGAATTTGGGCAATACACGGCAGAAGCAGTCGAGTAGAGATCAGTGGAACAACGAAAAGAGAAAATCCAAATATTTCGATAGCAACAATTCATTCAATCAAGTTGTTGTCATTTGGTAAATATTAGGTAATGAATAATATTATGGTTGTTGCAAAGGAGTTGTTGCCATTTGTAAAAGCCTATTCAGGATTTCGAAAAAATGGGTGCATGGTTACGAATATAAATTTAATTAATTTGATGTGTTGTTAATACTGAATGAATTAAAAAGTCAATGATTAAATGTATAATAGATTTTTTTAAAAAAATTATACTTTTTTGATTGGACAAGTAAAAAAGAAAAAATTAACAAGTAATTAGGAACAGTGAGTATAATACCATTCCCTCTATCCCTACTTACTTTTTAACTTTTGAATTGATGCACCTACTAAGAAAATAATAATTGACGTAATGAGTTCACCATTTTACTCTTATTATTGATTATAAAGTGAATGATTTAAAAACTTAAAGATTTTCAAGAATTTTAACTTCTTTCAAAATAATTAATTGAAATAATACGTAAGAAAACTATACTTTTTTATTTGTCAAAATGAACAAGTAATTAGGGATGACTAAAAAAAAATTGACAAGTAACTAGAGACAATGAGAGTACTAGTTTTACATTTTAATACACATATTTGATTTAATGATATAAATTTTTTACCGTGCTAATTTTTTTTAGGAACTTCTAACGTTACACACTTGAAAGTTTTGAACGATTAAAGAAAAAATAATTGATTGAAAAACCAAAAATGTTATCGATAACCGCTTGGATGGTATTACTATATAACAAAAATAAGATAGATATAAGATTTAAATTTCTATCATCACTTTGAGCCGTGTGTAATCATTGTTGTATTATTATATGCTACTTTTAACGTGGGTTCAAACCTCTATATTTAAATATTTTTTAAAAATACAACACTACTATTTATAATCTAGAGAGGAGAGTATGCATTCACTTGAACTCACGTAACCCCTCTAGATACGTCTCTATCCATTTGTTTATATTCAAAATATCTCAAGTATCGGTGTTTTCTTAGTTTTCTATCTGAATCGTCATGTTTAGTGTTTTGGCAAAATATATAAATATATCATTTAACATGGTTTTATCTAGGACATATGTCTTCTAATTTTGGAAATCTAGAGTCGAAACTATTTGGTAATAAATTTTTTGATTTTTAAGTAGGTTTTATAGTAAAAGTTAATTTTTAATAATGGTGAGATATTTTGAAGAATATTTTTGATTCCCAAAATGACAACTTTTTTTTTTTTTACATATAAAGCACAATATAACTTTAGACATCTAAAGTATTCCTTGAGTGAATTATTTGTTCATCTTTGATTCCCTTATTGATATACTTTTCTTTTATTACTAACAAAAGTGCATGGCAATAGAATCATGAGTTCTTTATATTAGTTGCTTTTTGTCAAACTTAATTTATATTACTTGCTACAATTTTATACAAATATTTTTTTGCTCAATTTGGGATTAAATATTTCTATTAAAATATATTTAATTTAGATTCATACTATATGATATAATTTAAATTACGTAAATTGAGACCAAAAGAGTCGAAGTTAGACTCAAATAAATGTAAGTCACCTAACAAATGGAGAAAGAAGGAAAAAAAGGTTAGAGTGGACTTGGCAACATGTACGCTACGCGTTAATGAGAAAAGGGGAAAAAAGAAGAATCATTATATCTTTAGTGATTCACCAGTTATAATAAAGATAATTTTATATTCGAAAACATATTAATTTAAATGTCATGATTAAGAATGAAAAAAATATTTACTGTAACCTGGTTGTTTATCACATATTCCTTGTTTCTCTTTTTTTAGTGGACTAACTTTTTTTAACTCCAAAAACAAAAAGAATTTTCAAAATATAAAATTTATTACTTCTTTAATCTTTCATTAATAATTTGATCTAAAATTGTTCGTTTATCAAACGTTTAATACAAATATATCCATATGATTACTTAATTGGACAAAAACATCTTATTTCCTAATAAATAATACTATACTCATTTGCCCAAAAAAAAAAAGGAACTTTGATCTATTAAGTAATATGAAAGGGCATTGATAATGTGATATTTAAAGACTAAATTATATTTTTGTTCAATATAAATCTATTAAATTTGAATTCGCCTTGAAAAACTTCAAATTAAAAGAGTTTCTAACAAAAATGATTTCTACGACTCAAACTCAAAATCTTTAGATAAAAAATATTTACCACTCCACGAAACTTGGTTATTTATAGACTAGATCAATTCTATTCATTGAGTTGATGGTATAATAGACTAGATTAAATACTTTGTATGGTATAATAGACTAGATCAATTCTATTCATTGACTTGAAAGACAAGATTATTTATGCTATTAGTTTATATATTTCCACATACTTGGTTATTTCAACAAAATCTTATTCAATTTCTGTTTTTGTTTCATAAACAAACCAATCAAGAAACAGTCATGGCTGAAGTACTTGTCTCCATTGTGGTTGAACAATTGGGCAATTTCGTTGTGGAACAAGTTAAGGAACAAGTAGAGGAGCTAAAAATGGCTATTGGGATCAAGGAAGAGATTCAAAGTCTATCATTGAAGTTGAAAATGATAAGGGAAGCATTGGATGATGCAGAGAGAAAAAGGGTCAAAGATGAAAATGTTAAACATTGGTTAGAAGTTCTTGAAATTTTTTCTTATGATGCAGACAATGTGTTAGATGAATGGCGCACAAGAATACTCCAGAAAGAAATTGAAAGACATGACTCTCTTCTTGTTGCTGGTGCTGGTGCTGGTGCTGGTGCTGCTGTTTCCATTCCTAAGAAGAAAGTTAGCTGCTTTTCACTGTCTTGTTGTTTTACTTTCAAGAAACTTGAGATTAATCGCGATATTGTTCGTAAAATAAAGGAATTAGATGTTAAGTTAGAAGAGATTGTGAGGGGAAAAGATCAGTTCAATTTTGTAGTTAATGCAACTGGTGGTGGTGTTTCTGATCAAGATGTGTTTAGGAGAGTTATGACTACGGGTATTGTTGATGAATCAGAAGTACATGGTAGGGATTCTGATAAAGAAGTTGTAATGAGGAAGTTGGTTGAGAGTAGTGATCTAGAAAATGTACCTGTTGTTGTTTCTGTTGTGGGTACAGGTGGGATTGGAAAAACAACACTTGCCCAACTAGCTTATGGTGATGAGGAATTGAAGGGTCATTTCGATAAAAGAATTTGGATTTGTGTTTCTAATCCTTTCGATGAAGTCAAAGTTGCAAAAGCTATTCTTGAAGGGCTAACTAAAAGCTCTCCGAATCTGTCTCAGTTTCATATGTTGTTAGAAAGAATTCAAGAATGTGTCTCTAAGATAAGGTTCTTTCTTGTGCTAGATGATGTGTGGTCTGAAGATTATTCTAGATGGGAACCATTAAAGAACTCCCTCAAGAATGGAGCTCCTGGAAGTAGAATCTTGGTTACATCCCGGAGTGAGAGGGTTGTGGGGATGATGGGAAGTTCTTACATGCATAGGTTGGGACAGATATCAGATTCAGATTGCTGGGCATTGTTTAGTCGGATAGCATTTTCAGGAAGGAGTAACGAGGATCGTGAGAATTTAGAAGATATTGGAAGGAGAGTTGTTCGAAAATGCAAAGGATTGCCACTTGCTGCAAAGACTATGGGAAGTCTCCTGCGTTTTAAAGTTACAGAACAAGAGTGGCAAACTGTTTTGGACAATCCAATATGGGAACAGAAAGAAGTGACAGTAGACCTTTTTCCTCATTTGTACTTGAGTTACGACGACTTGCCCCCAATCTTGAAGCGTTGTTTCTCATACTGTGCCATTTTTCCTAAAGATACTGTCATAAATGTAGACAAGTTGGTCAGAATTTGGATGGCACAAGGTTTTCTCAGCACAGTTGAAAATAACCAGCAGGAAGTTAGAGGACGCGAGTACTTCGTGAACTTAGCTATGCGCTCTTTCTTTCACGAGTTGGAGACAGATGATAAAAACACAAGTGTGATAATATCTTGCAAAATGCATGATGTAGTGCATGATTTTGCTCAGTTTCTTTCAAGAAATGACTGCTATAGCATCTCAGGGACCGAAAGCACAGAAAAAGTTCTTAATGTTCATCATTTATGCTGGGAGAGAACTGACACTGCAGTAACTCCTGTTTCTATCTGTGATGTTGGAAAGATCCGCAGTCTTTTTGCTGAACACTTGCTCGCGAAAGAGCTTACTCTCGATCTGGTCAAAGGTCTTAAATGTCTGAGAGTTCTAAATTTACATGGCTGTGGAATACAAGAACTCCCTCAAGAAATCGGCAATCTGTTCCATCTGAGGTACATTGATTTAAGCAGTAGCCGAGTACAGAACTTACCTGAAGCCATTTGCCGGTTGTGTAATCTGCAAACGTTAGATCTTCAAGGATGTAAGCGTCTTTCAGGACTTCCTCAACATATAGGAAAACTGATCAACTTGAGACACCTCATTACAACTGACACTCCCAAGTTGGAATCTTTTCCTCAAGATATCGGAAATCTAACTCATCTCAGGACTTTGAGTGACTTTGCAGTTGGGAAAGGATCAAGCAAGCTAGGATATATCGGAAAATTGAACCAGCTTCAAGGGTATGTGTCTATCCATGTGATCGACAGTTTGAACTCTGCAGAAGACGTAGTTGAAGCACAAAATGCAGCATTAAGAATGAAGCCACACATTAAAGAACTACGTTTGAGTTTCTACTGGGCAAGTGAGGTAAGTATGGATGTGATGGAAGCTCTAGTACCACCTCCAAACCTTAGATTCTTGACGATCAACGGATACAGAGGCACTCAATTCCCAACATGGATTACACTGTCCCTTAATAATCTTAGAGTTCTTACACTAAGTGAGTGCTTTAATTGCACCTTTTTGCCACCTTTAGGTAAGTTGCCATTTCTTGAAATTCTTTGGATAAGGCTTATGGATGAATTGAAACATGTAGGAAATGAATTCTTGGGCTTGCCAGGAACCATTAACACATTTCCAAAGTTAAAGAAATTGAGATTTTCATATTGTTCAGAGTGGGAAGAATGGACAGACATAAAACCAGAAGTTGGTTTTTCAGTAATGCCTAGTCTGAAGGAGTTGGAATTAAATTGTTGTGAAAAGCTAAATAGCCTTCCATATTGTCTCCTGCAAAGAGTGTCATCACTAGAGTCTTTGAAGATCAAGATGTGCCCTTGTCTTGAGCTTGATTGGACTGAGATAACTCATATTCAGAGTATAGAAACTGATGATGGGATGTGAGGAATGTTGAGTTCTTTTGTGAGAAGCCTGAAGCCGGAATCACTGATAATCACCGGCCTTGTACAAACGGCTCATCACACTATGTGAGTTGGCCATGCACAAAGTCGTTACCTTAACTGCAAGGGACTTATTTATCTCCTACATGAGAATGAGAAAGATATGTATGATAATAAACTTTATTTAGTTTTCTTCATTTTTCTCTTTTGTTACCTGAATTATCCTTAACATAGAGTATGAACTTGTATCCACGTTTTGATGACATGTACATCAAGATTTTTGAATTTTAGATGTTGAACATATATAGCTTGAATATTCTTTGAACTAAAAGAGTTGTCTACTACCATACTGCTCAATCCTACTTTGTCTTTATATATAAATCTTGTATGGTTCAAAGTAACTTGGTGAGTCCCAAAAAATCAATCAATAAGTTGGTTCAATTGGAATTGTTGATGCAAGAACTTTGAAATGGAATACTAGATAAGTTTGCGAGAGGAAACTGCTCGGATGGTAAATATCCATCACTTCCAACTCAAAGGTTACGAGTTCGAGTAACCAAGGGACCAAAAAGGGTCTGGGTAAAAAAAAAGAACATAAGAATACCTGATAAGGTACACTCAACTGTGCTTTAACAGCATAAGTAAACAAACAACATATATTTGATCTTGACATCAGTCACTCAGTGTTCAATTGTCTTAGATCTCTAAAACATTTTTATCTTAATATCCCAGATTGATATTTTTGGCTATTTTCTCATTCTCACTATAAATATGTAATGATACAGAGAGTTACATGGAAAGTTGCAAGTGGACAAACGAACATAGCACTGGTGACTAGTATCATTAGAACCAGCCACCTTTGCCCACATCAACTTTTTTATGTTGTAGTACAACAGTGAGTTGATGATGTAACAAATGATAAAGGCGAAAATTAGTCTTTGTTCTGCAAAATTGATTAGCAGCTGGATTTATCGAGTTGAAGAGGGGACTGTGTTTATTGTTCCTCTTCATTTCAGATACTTCCTCATGTCCCATAACAGTCGTTTCGGCACTACACTGCACCGTTAACATTCTCAATATCGTCTTTTGTCAGTTGCATCTTGCCTTTGTCTCGTCTAGGGTTTCTTCGTGTTTGATCCGGTTGCCCTCGCTGCAAAATAAACAAGATTTCACCAAGATCACAATCACAAGAATCAATGCCATCATCCATGCAAAGGCCTGCTTTGCATAAGTAATTTTTGAACAAGGTTAAGGGAAGCATTCTATCAACAAAGAATATGCTGTCGGATGCTAGTCATGCCCCCCCACCCCACCCCCCACCCCCAAAGTTTGGGTCGTGGATTACTGTTTAACAATAACAGGTAATATTAAAACATGAATTAGGTACGTTCATACCTTCCTTAGAACAAATGCCAAATAAAGGTAGGCTACCTCCCATTCGTCCGGTGATAAAGTACCTGTAATTAGCAAAATATGTCATAACACAAGTTTTGGGTAGGCATATGTAACAAGCATCAAATATCAAAAATACTTGGATGAAAGAGCACAGCACTAATATTCAGCATCTAAGATGACCAAAACTTACTTTGGTCTTGGTTCCCATCACCTAATGCACCAAGCCTCCTCATTAGCTCAATAAACTCGGGTTTCTTCATGTATTCATCCACAAACTCATGGTTGTTCTTCACAAAAACTAGCTCGAAGTCATACTGCAATAAAAAAAAAAATAGTAACACTGTCAGAACAAACGAGAAGGCAAGAAACAACTGCATTATATTCTTGAATGCTAATTATTATGCCTTCTGCAGTGTAATCCTTGAAATATCAGTAATTATGCCTCGTATACCATACAGAAATTATCTCTGACTACCTATAAGGATTTTGAATAATGTCTAAGATACTCCCTTATTTTGTCTCATAACTATTATCGGGGAGCACTCTCAATCAGTGTTATCAAGGCGCACTTAACACGTGCTTGAGCCCTGAAAAGAGGCTCAAAATGTGTTGAGCGTTTCGCGTAGCTTAATGTGTGCTTTGGTGTCGTCATCGAGGTTCTAGGACATACTTTTCCTTGTCAATGAGCCTCTTCTGAAGAGATGACACTAAACAATTGATATTTCACTTTATCGTGATTGTTTTTCGATTTCTTTATTCATATATTTGTCATTCATGCTAACAAATTATTAGTCTTGGACTAAACATGTATATTTTGTATTTTTTTTCTCCCTTTTCGCCTTTTTTCATTAAAGTCCACACTTTATTTGCGCTTTACGCTAAAAGCCCCAGCAGACCTTAGAGCTTTTTTGCTTTTGATAACACTGCTCTCAATCAAGAAAACTGCCCTCTCTATATAAAAGAGAACCCACCATGCTCTTGATTTAAAATAAAAAATATTATAAGATCAAACAAGAGCACATATATACACCTAGAATTTCTCGTATTCACAGAAAAGGGATATATAAAGTAAAAAAAAACAAATGACCTGCAGTACAGAATATGTCAACAACTAAAAGTGGGAGGCACACATGATAATACCTCTTCAGCCATTGCCTTGAAAACAGGGAAAGGAACAATCCACTCAGGACAGTCAACAGCATCCTACAATCCCAATATTGACAGTCAATTTGTTTTGAGAAAAAAAAAAGCAGATAAATCATATATATCCACACAGATGCAATCAAAGGATTTTCAATATCAGAACCGTAGCTTGGTTTTCAAGATTTGATTGGAGGATAACCCTACGTTGATTTTCAGGATTTAATAAGAGGATAACCCTATGTTGATTTTCAGGATTTAATAAGAGGATAACCTATGTTGATTTTCAGGATTTAATAAGAGGACAACCCTATGTTGATTTACAGGATTTAATAGGAGGAGGATAACATTCCAAGCATATAATACACAGATAATCTTTTGTAAGTCGTGTTAAGATGGGAATTCTCCACCTGTTGATATATGTACATAAACTATGTCTGATCAAAACTTAATAAATGAGTTTTGAGCCCCAAAGTAGTGTTTGGTTTCATTCACAGCACATGCAAAATCCATAAATAATAGAGTAAGAACAGTTGTTCAGTCTGCTAGAACTTGCAAATCATGGAGGCTAAAAGACAAATAAAAATCCTTCAATGTGCATGATTCTAAACAAGTAAAGCAAAAACTGAAAACCATACATGCCTACTAGCTATAAAACAAATAAATTATTCAAATGGAAGCGCTGAGATTTGTACTTTGAAACTAAAATCGACAAAGGAGCGCATACACACTTTAATCAATAACAATAATACTGAAGGACACAGCTAAGATATATAGGAAGGCATAAATCTGTACACACCTCCAGATGGAACTTGTATTTGATGCCAAAAGGATTTGAAGATTTGAATTTCTGCAACAATGGAAAATCTTAATATACAACTACTTATAGTAGTAACAACAGAAATCAGAAAATTGCTAGAAAATGATAACACAAGTTACCTTCTCTGAAAATTCTTCATCAAAACGTATCCAATAGACACTATTACCAAAGGCTAGCCCCTCAGCTGCACTTCCAAAGACAAACAGGAACCATATATCAACAAATCTTTAATCTGGACTTGTATAGAAAGAGACTAGATAATACATTTTAAAAAATTGCAATGACACCATCACTCCACTAGTCTTGAGTGATGGCCACACGATCATAAAAATGTGGACAATATTAGAAATAATCAGATGCCTTAAATAAAACACATAGAAGATAAAATGAGAAAAGGTACACTAAGATAGTTTGGCTATATCCTACATAGACCGCTAAATGCACCATGCTTGTAGGTGTGATACTTTTATGATGATTAAAAAACGGAACGAAGTAGACCTAAAACCACATGAAGGAAAATTGTCTCAAATGACTTAAAATCTCAAAATCGGTGCATGCTAAACAAAGTAATGAGTACAATAGAAGCAAAAGACCTATATGTACCACAAGGTTAGGGTTGAAGTTTTCTTGCCGATGTAACTTGCATAAGATCTCATGTTTGGTTAGAAGTCATTTTGTGTAGTTAGATACCTTTAGAAGTCATTTTGTGTAGTTAGATACCTTCTAAGTTTAGAAGGAACTCTTATGTGCCTTACAAGCTATTATTAGTCATCACTGGAAGGAAAGAGATCCAAACAGAGGATATAAAGGATTCACATAGCCAACCTAACTAATTTAAATTTGATGCATAGTTTAATGGTTGATGATTCAGGCAAAAATCTAAGCATTTGAGCACAAACCCCCCCCCCCCCTCCCCCAAAATAAAAAAGGAGAAAAGATAAAACAAATGAAGAGCAAGTTTCTAGATAAAACAAATGAAGAGCAAGTTTCTAGTTGCAGTTCAGCTCCTTGACCTTTTAACTGAAAAGCTAGTGATGAGAGTAAGGACATAACAAAAAGACATCAGAGTCATAACATTTATAGATTCAACAGGGACAAACAGGGCAGAATTGAGTAAAGTTGAACCTTCTCTATACTTCTTGACGATGACATTGGCATCTGGCATTGTTCCAATAAATATTCCTCCGGGTCGGAGTAAAACTGAGATGTTGGCCAGTGCACGTCGTGCACGTGCCTCAGTAGACCACGAATAATGCATAGCAAACTGCAAATTTCAATTTTTCATAGCTTAGAATCTGTAAGAGGCCACCCAGGACAAACATAAATTCTGGATAAAGGGCTGTCGCTTCTCCAGATACTAGGCAGAGGCATCCAATTAGGAGGACACTGTACAAACATCTTTCATAAACCTCTACTTCAGTTTTTACAGTTTTTTTCAAAATTTAAGAAAGATGTGGATTATACACCTTTTTCAGTGAGCTAGTTTGGAGAAGCTTCTGAACACACTAATGAATTTTCAAGTTTTCATTGGCAAAATAGAAAGTAAAAGCTGGACAAAAACTAAAATAGGACAAATGACACATTTAACATAGCCAGGAACCAAAAACACGAAAGCTTGAGATGAGATATTTTACGAGGGCATCAACATATCCAAAACACCTCATAATGCTCATAGAAAGAGATGCAGTTATATAAAAGTGATTCAATTCATATAAGCATGTACCTCTATAGGCTAGACACATTTAACATAGCCAGGAACCAAAAACACGAAAGCTTGAGATGAGATATTTTACGAGGGCATCAACATATCCAAAACACCTCATAATGCTCATAGAAAGAGATGCAGTTATATAAAAGTGATTCAATTCATATAAGCATGTACCTCTATAGGCCAAGAAATAGCAGAAAATAGTTCAATTAAGCCATAAATAACTACTCCTTTTGATAATGGAGTAGTTACTTTATGGCTTAATTGA